TCAATACAACATAGTCCCTGAAGTCCAGAAATGATGTTCCCCCTTGCAATACTGGTCAGAATAATGCATCAAAGATGCAGACAAGGCACAGCGATTTGAAACAGTAATGGGGTGCGGAGGGATGGATTTTTTTGTCTAGGTGTAGTCCTGGTTAGATGGATTATTTTGTGAGGACATTTGCAAACTGCTCTTTAACCACTTGGTCTCCTAAGGATTTACTCCCCTTCCTGACCAGGCCTTTTTTTGCTATGCGACGCTGCACTATTTCAACTGGTAATTGCACGGTCATGCAATGCTGCACCCAAATAAAATGTATGTCTTTTTTCACACAAATTGAGCTTTCTTTTGTGGTATTTGATCACCTGTACGCTTTTTATTTTTTGTGCTCTAAACAAAAAAAGACAGTAAATTTTGAAAAAAAAAACCCTATATTTTCTCATTTCTGTCATAAAAAATATCCAATAAAACTCAAATTTCTTCATACATTTTGGACAAAATGTATTCTGCTACATGTTATTGATAAAAAAAAATCCCAATAAGTGTATATTGATTGCTTCACACTATAAAAAAAAAAAGACCGAACATTTTGAAAAAAAATTATATTCTTTACTTTTGGCTATAAAAAATATATAGTAAACTCAAAGTTAGTCATATATTTAGACCAAAATGTATTCAGATACATGTCTTTGGTAAAATATGTATATTGATTGCTTTGTGTGAAAGTTATAGCGTCTACAAACTATGGTATAGATACTTCAATTTACGCCATTTTTTGCTATACAGCGCTGCACTAGTTGCGCAGTCATGAAAAGCTGTACCCAAACAAAATTCATGTGCTTTCTTTCACACAAATAGAGCTTTCTTTCAGTGATCTTTGATCACCTGTGCGCTTTTTATTGTTTGCGCTATAAACAATAAAAGACTGAAAATGTAAAAAAAAAACAATATTTTTTACTTTCGGCTATAAAACATATATAGTAAACTCAAACTTAGTCATAAATTTTAAGTCAAAATGTATTCTGCTACATGTCTTTGGTAAAAAATCCTAATAAGTGTATATTGATTGTTTTTGTGTGAATGTTATAGCGTCTATAAACTATGGTATAGATACTGCAATTTACGCCATTTTTTGCTATACAGCGCTGCACTAGTTTAACTGACAATTGCACGGTCATGCAATACTGTACATAAATGAAATTTATGCCCTTTCTTTCACACAAATAGAACTTTCTTTTGGTGGTATTTGATCACCCGTGCGCTCTTTATTTTTTGTGCTATAAACAAAAAAAAACAGATATATTTTTTTAAAAATCCTATATTTTCTTATTTCTGTCATAAAAAATATCCAATAAAACTCAAATTGCTTCATAAATTTAGGACAAAATGTATTCTGCTACATGTTTTTCGTAAAAAAAATCCCAATAAGTGTATATTGATTGCTTTGTGTGAAAGTTATAGCATCTACAAACTATGGTATAGATAATAGAATTTACACAGCTTTTACTTTCTGACTGCCTATCACATTTCTTGAGGTGCTAAAATACCAGGAAAGTACAAACACCCTCAAATGACCCTTTTCGGAAAGTAGACACCCTAAGCTATCTGCTGAGAGGCATATTGAGTCCATGGAAGATTTATTTTTTCCACAAGTTTTTGGAAAATGAAAAAAAAAACATATATATATATATATATATATATATATATATATATATATATATATATATATCGGGTTTGGTGCTATCCTGGTATTTTCAGGGCTTCCGAAACTGTGATAGCTAGTCGCAAAGTGTAATGAGGAAAAAAAGCCCTTAAAAGTCTGAATGTGCTTATTGGATTTTGGGGTCCTGTACTTGGCTAGATGAGCCATATCTCTCACATGTGATACCCCCATACTTGGGAGAAGTAGCAGAATGTGTTTTGGATAGTAATTCCACATATACCCATGACATGTGTGAGCAATACATTTTTTTTTGTCATTTTTCAAAAACTTGTGGAAAAAAAATGAATTCTTCTATTGACTCAACATGCTTCTCAGAAAATAGTTTGGGGTGTCTACTTTCCAAAAAGGGGTCATTTTGGGGGGTGGGGGCATTTTATGCCCAGCATTAGAAGTTTATGCCACACATCACTCACTATTCTAACCACCTAAAAACCAAGCCTGTTCTGACATTTTTTTGTTCACATGAAAAAAAATCTGTATTTTTTGCTAGGAAATTGCTTTGAACCCCCAAACATTAAATATTTTTTAAAGCAGACACCCTAGTGAATAAAATGGCGGGTGCTGCAATTTTTTATGTCACTCAGTACTCCCAAAACGATTTTTCACGTGCAAATAAAAAAAAAAAAACACACTTTTTTTACTTTTAATGCACAAAAACACAATCTATTGGCCAATTATTTTGTAAGATATAAAAGATGATGGTATGCTGAGTAAATAGATGGGTTTTTTTTTTTTAGTTATTTTGATTTCTTAAATTATTTTTACACTGTCCCTTTCATTTTTTTTATCACTTTTAATGCTATCACAGGGAATGCAAATATCCCCTATAACTTCAATGAGCATTGTCATATATTCTATTTGGAGAAATCTGGGGTCTATCAGACTCTAGATAACTCCTCTGCCCATTCATTATCTAATCTCACTAAGATCGGTGTGATCAGATGCTTTCCCAATTTACAAATGGCGCTGTTTATATCCTGCGAAAACTGAAGTGATGAAATGCTCGTAGCTTTCAATTTCTTAGACTATAGAGATGATTGGCACCATTGTGGTCTTCAATCAGCTCTATGGTCAGTTGGCAGAAACACCGGCTGCATTCTCAGGTTCCTCCAATGGCACGGGACTGCCCGAGAATGCTGTGGAAGGCAGCGGGGGAGGGGGGCATCTTCTCCTGCTGCTTGTAAAAACAATCCTGCAGCTAATTAGCCACAAAGATTGCTTTTGTCAAGCACCTGTGGTAGTGAGCCCTTGTAGATGGTCAACTTGGGGTTCCCCAGGGCATGGAGTCTAAGCCCCAACCTGCTTCTTCACCAGATCCCCAGATGGTGGGGATGGACTTGCAGCAAGCTGGGAGCAGGTCGCAGCCCCCAGGTATGCCCCAGCTGAGGAATGATGGAAGGGAAGGAAATAAAACCCAGAGAACAGCAGATGATGCCCATAGGTGAGCACAGACAAACCACACATGTGAAAGGGATCAGGAACAGCACTGCTGCAAGGAGGTAAGAATACACAAACAAGAAACTGCAGGCTAACTTGTGGCAGCTTTTACATGAAAGCCGATCACAGGAAGAAACAAACTACACCAGGATGATACCTGCAGCTGCACACATCATCCTGGTATAACCACTCAAAGTCCCGTGATGTACCAGAATGTCGCTGGTCCTTGTTGGGTGTATATGCTATGTTCTTTTTTTTATGCAGCATGTGGGCTGAATGAAAAAAAGAGAAGAAATCTCTACCAGAAAAAGTGTGTGGTATGCCCACCATTAAAATATATTGCCCAGCATCCACCCACTTCTAATTGTGGGCACACATGAAATGTACCAAAAAATATTATAAAATATATATGCCAAAGTATAGGGGCCATCCACCCACTGGCCACCCTAGGCCCCCATGCTTTGGCATATATGCTCTTTTTTTAATTGCGGATGAAAAATCTCATCCAACAGCACTGCACACACCTACTTATGTATATTCTGAGAGCAAGACCCTGTTGCTGTCAGAATAAACAAGTCGGTGCTGCAGCTGAATGACATTCCTGCAGAGAAAACAGCAATGGTTAACAATAAAACAGTAACTCAATGAAACAGCTTTTTTATTGAAATATCTCTGCCAGAAAACGTGTGTGGTATGCCCACCATTAGAATATACTGCCCTGCATCCCCTACTTCTAATGGATCTACTACAGTATGTACAGTTGATTTGTAAAGCACAAAAGCATTATATAGAGCCAATTGAAATAAATAAGCAGACACATTTTTGTACCAGCGTCTGGCTTTTCAGAAAACTAAGTACGGCTTCATCATCTGGTTGTTGAAGCTCACCCCTCCATGTTAAGGTTATAGCAATGGACACATAGGGGCTTCCAAACAACACCAGCTACTGTGACAATTTGGATGGTCGTGTCTGTGTGAATGGAAGACAGGATGAAAATATCCTGTTTGTCCTTCCACTTCACTGCGAGCAATTCCTCATTTCCCAAGCAGGCTTTTTCCTCCTTTCTAAGCTGGGTATTTACAAGCCATTGGGGGAAGCCCGGTGATTAGGTTGCATGGTGCCATATGCGACAGTTCCAAGATTGTACAAATGTCTAAATAGTGGCACGCTTGAATAAAAATTGTCCATATGGTAAGTGGTACCCCACATGGAAAAAGGATGACACCAAGTCCCAAGCTATCTTGCCACTGCTCCCCATGTAGTCTGGGCATCCGGGGGGGGGCTCCACGTGAATTGAATGAGGGATTTATCAACGGAGAGGTTTTGCTGGGGACTATAGACATCTGCAAATTTTTGGTTAAGGTGATTTACGAGGAGCCGAATTTTGTGGAGCCGGTCAAATTCAGGGTCATCCCGAGGACAACAGAGTGTGTTGTCATTGAAATTCATAAAACGCATTATACTCTCACATCTATGCCTGGCCATGGCAGCAGAGAACACGGGTATATGATGAATCAAGTCTGTGGACCAATACAACCGCAATTCAGCGTATTTTGACAGCAGAGAGTCCCTACTGTCTGTGTCAGGGCTCCCGGGTGTGACCAGAGGTGTGTGACTGACGCAGGGAAACGCAGACTTAAGATATGTTATAAACAATGTAATTTAATAACACTAACAATACAAACATAAACGCAGTGCAATACTAAAACATAACACAGTGCAAACAAACCAAACCAACCACCCACAGATAACAGTACATACAATGCAAGCGTCGTCAGGCAGGCCGGGTCAATATCAATCGGGCAGGTAGGTACAGGGGGAGCAAGCGGAGAATGGTCGGGGTCACAAGCCAGGTTCAGCAGGAAGCGGGCAGCGTGGTACAGAGGGTCAGGCAGAGGAGAATGGTCAGACAAGCCAGGGATCAGAGCAGGGTCAGCAGAGAATCAGACAGGAACAGGGAGCAGGAACAGGATACAGGGACCAGGAGAAACACAACACCAAGGCCGAGTCTGCAGGTCTGAATGTCCCTTAAATACACCAGTATAATTAGTTCCAGGTGTTTGACTGGCTGCAAGGTTGAATCTCTGATTGCTGGGAGCACCCGCTGGCCAGCCCTGGTACTGCAGCTCATAAGGCAGCTGAGTCCCACTATTGCTGGCCAGTCCATTCCTGACAGTACCCCCCCCTCAAGGAGCGGCCTCAGGACGCTCCAAACAGTCCTAGCTGGGCAAAATGTTCCACCGCCCGGGTCTGGTAACTGGCGGGATATCAAAGACTGGCACACCGGGCAGGACTCCGGGCAGCGGCACACCGGGCAGAGGCACATCGGGCAGGACTCCGGGCAGAGGCACATCGGGCTGGACTCCGGGCAGAGGCACATCGGGCTGGACTCCGGGCAGAGGCACATCGGGCTGGACTCCGGGCAGAGGCACATCGGGCTGGACTCCGGGCAGAGGCACATCGGGCTGGACTCCGGGCAGAGGCACACCGGGCAGAGGCACACCGGGCTGGACTCCGGGCAGAGGCACATCGGGCAGGACTCCGGGCAGAGGCACATCGGGCAGGACTCCGGGCAGAGGCACATCGGGCAGGACTCCGGGCAGAGGCACATCGGGCTGGACTCCGGGCAGAGGCACATCGGGCAGAGGCACACCGGGCAGAGGCACATCGGGCTGGACTCCGGGCAGAGGCACATCGGGCTGGACTCCGGGCAGAGGCACATCGGGCCGGACTCTGGGCAGAGGCACATCGGGCCGGACTCTGGGCAGAGGCACATCGGATTACCAGGCAAAGCAGCAGGCAGCGGGCCACCAGGCGGAGCAGCAGGCACCGGGCCCCGGGCGGAGCAGCAGGCAGCGGGCCCCGGGCAGAGCAGCAGGCACCGGGCCCCCGGGCGGGGCAACAGGCATCGGGCCCCCGGGCGGGGCGA